CCTAAATTTATTCTTCAATTATTACATAATAATATTATTAGAAATAAAACTATTATGCAATATATATTGGAACAATCATGTAAAACAATTGAATCTAATGATTATTCAATGAAAGTAGTTCATTTTCAATTATTATTAATACAATTAATTACAAGTTTAAATAAATTCATTATACCATTATCATGCAATGAAATAATTACCAATGTTAATATTGATTTTATTCATTTAATAATTGATATAACTGGTTTAGTTTTATTATTATTAAGTCAAAATCAAATAACTAATCAATTAGAACCACAAAGAATTTTACCTACTAGTATGAAATCATGTTTAGGTTATTGGTTATCATATCTATCTATGTTTGATTCTTCTTCATCTTCTTTTTCTCGTCTAATGAATGATACAATGAAAATATTATTAAATGAATGTTCTAGATTATCTTCATTATGGATTAAAGAATTAATTATTTGTTCTCCAGAAAAGGATGCAACTATTCAAGCTAACAATAATAATAATACAGTTTGCCTGCTGGTAAATTCAACCAATATATCATGTGTAGAATTATTTAGTTAATTATACAGTTCATAACACTAAGTGGTTTTAATCAAGCCCCCCAAATACCCTGGTACGGTTGAAAGTGAGGAGAGTTAGCTATACTTCTCAAAATGCTCTCACATGGTCACGTGCATACAACCATTGCTAGGGAAGTCCTACTCACTGCTTTCTCGTGGCGGGGACGTTGTTTACGAAATTGAGAGAACGAAAAGCGAATATCCGACTCTTTAACCGGGTTAGTGAATATGGAGGATCCAGCCAGGGGAGTTGGAAAACCCCTATTCCAAACCAATGGTATACATGGGCTCCGGGATCCTGGAGGAACAAGTGGCGTATGAACCTATTGGGATTGCATCTCCGGGTGTGGTCCCCTAAGAAAACAACCTGCTTCGCTTTGGGCACCCCATTACTACTATATTTGTCATGGGAATGTTAGAATATGGAAATATCCAGGTTTCAAACACCACTAATCAGAACTTTATCAAGTCATTCATATACATTTGTATATATCTTATTGTATATAAACTAGAAGTGAACGAACGTATTCTATGAACTCAACGACCACATTGATAACTGAATAACTCATTTATATAGATTTTTCTATCAATTGATAATTAATTAACTAATATTGTAGAAAATTTAAAATAATGGGATGACCAAATAAATTCTCCACTTAATTGATACCATATCATTATAATTGATTGGGAAGAGTATTTTAAAGAGGATAGAATTTTAGTATGGCAGATTTTTATAAAGTTTTTATTACTTTAGTTCTCATATTTATTGGACATTATACTACTATAATTGAACTATACAGTTTCAATGTGTTTATTTTTGTATTCACAGCATGTAAACTATCCTTATGCTCGATTACGTGGTTTAGTTCATATACTGGCCAGTATCACTTTTTCGAATCTGGATAATAATAGAAATAGTAATTTAAATATAGATGAGAGTATTTCAACAAATTCAGAAGGCCGTGATAATGGTAAGCAACCTGTTGATGTTCAATCATCATCCATACTATCATTTCATCAGGAAAGTAATGAATCATCAGAACAGAACATACCAATCACACAAGAGTATGCTAATGAATTATTAAAAATTCTTTGCAATATTTTAGTGATTACACATTATGCAACTCATAAGTTTGAGGAATTTTATGATTTCCCTGATTCAATCAAAGATAATTTACCATTCAAGAATGATGTAGTGAAAAATAAAAATTTTACTGTTTATCCATCAAAATTAGCGAAGAAAATGGTATGATTTCTTTCTTTCTCTTTCGTTATTCTGTTGTTGTGTTAATTATTTTAATTTGTACCTGTTGTGGTAGGACTAGAGCGAACTGATAGCCTTGAGCGATTCCAAGATTGACCTTATAATTAAATAATCATATGTTAGCCAGTTAGATTGTAGTTATTGTCAATGAACCATTGGATATTACAAAATTAAGGACAAATTAGTTTTAGAATGTTAGGTTTAGGGTTTAACATCATAACCCTAATACTATCTTTCTAACTTTAATGATTAGAATCCAGGTTGTGTAAACGAATAGTATTGCTTCAGCAATATGTACTTGTGTTACTGTAAACCGTTTAATTGCAGAAACCATAATTCCCTTCAATTTGAGCTTCCGTTTTTTCGAAAGGTGCCACTCCTAATAGGTTACTGTAAAATATATGGAATGTGGCTATCAGTAGAATCTAAGACGTGCGTTTCGTCCTATCTGTAATTTGTCAACTGGATGTACATGGATCCCAGAGTTGGTTACTAACCTTGTTGAGTTCGACCCCTAATGAGGTCGTAAATGCAAAACGCTGAGATACTCCGTACTAGGACGATGTAACTGTCCAGTGCTTTACACTTGTGAGGCCTTGGTTTAGTGACTAGTTCACTCGGCTATCAACTTGTATGTTACGAGTTCGAACCCTGTCCCACCTACTTTGATTTACCATGCGGATTGTATTGTTAGCCTTCTAGCGACTGAAGTGCGGCTTGAAGCTTAGTACCTGAAATCTGCACTTAGTACATAGATGAATTAACCAGTTTGTTTTTCTACAATGTTTCCCATCTCTCTTTTAAAATTTAGGTCCTACTTTCTACGAGATCACCCTTCTCGCTAATTCAAGCTATTTGTTTTAAACAAGATGTGATTCGATGCATAGTTGGATTGATTACACAATTTCCTGAACTATCACTTTCATTAGCCTTACACAAATTTAATGCAAATAATTATATGATAGACGATGGTGATGACGTCAACGAGAAATTAATCAATTCAACAACATCTACACCATCATTTTTATCTGCCTTCGAAGTGATATTAGACGCTACAAATAGGGATCCATTCAATTCATTCTGTGTTGAATGGGCTATTCTCCTGATCCGGTTAATAGTAAAATCAAATCAAGCACACAGTTCACAAGTGATATCTATTGTGTCTTCAAAATTGAAAGGATTAAATATACTAGATGATTGATCATTGAACAATTGAATATGAGTAAAATAATGACGAATAGATACTTTTCGTTTTGTTATTGTACAGTGTGATTTATGTAGTTATGTATATGTATCACATAAAATAAATGAAATTTAATGAGTGAAAGCATATTTTCTGTTTCTTTTTCATGGATGTCTAACGCTTGTTCAGCAATTGTTTAGATATTATATAACCCATCAATTACTAGTTTATTTATTCAACATTGAACTTTACTGTTTGTGTGAGCATCCGTGAAATAATACTATGCTATCTAGACCTAGGTAGATGTTATGGAGTTTGAACCTGAGACTTGCTGGGCGAAAATGAGATGTTCCCTATCTACAAAGCGATCATTGCATTATGATGTGTATGTTATAAGATTTAGGGATTTATTCATTTTGTTTACTTGATAGTTATCAAATGGCTTTGTAATGTTAGAAAATGAACACTGAGACTAATTGTTTTAAGAGTACATGAACACTCCTTACTCAGATAGTTTTTTGTCTTTATCTGATATTAGTTGAAGGATTGTTGAAACCCAATTATAACAGATAATTTATTTTGTCCTAATATAAGAATCCTCATTAATTTGCATATACACAATCCAAAGCAGTGAGTCAAACTGAGGACATTTAAATTTAGAAGCAATAAATAGTATTGTTAAGGAACCTTAAATGGTCTTCATATCTGTAATTTAGTTTATGATACTGAACAATCTTTATCGGATATTATCATTCGTCCTTTAATAGTTTCACTGTTTTAATATCCGTGACTATAAAACTGGGAGTTTTCCAAAATGAAAATGTAAGATAAGGAATCTCAAACCCCTTATATTTACTAGTATGAGACTAGATTTCGTAAAATATCTTACAGACTGTCTTAAATCATCTAATTGATAATCTGTATAGTAATCAGTTGTTTTTTGTTTTCAAGAAAGTCAGTTAAAAAGTATGAATCAATTGACAATTTTGTGTGTGTGTGTGTGTTCATTCAGTTAACGAATGGGAAAGTATCTATTCGTCTTATTGTTTTTCTTTTTGCTTGTAGTCACTATGACTCATAAATACGATCGGTTCAGTAATGATAGACAAAACAAACCACTGTAGTCTCGTCATAGCTTAAAAATCTCTTGGTAGGTGTTTTGTGGTAAGAAGGCAATTTTCTTCAGGTGTATCAAATATTCCAGTTAGCGTCTGATATGTCTTATCGTTTTGAACACTACTTGTTATATCTGGTCGTCACTAATTGTTATGACAGAAACGCTTATAACTTATATTCGAAATGAGGGACCTCTGCAAGTTCCACGACGCGAAAGTAAGAATACAAAAACTGGTATAAGTGAAGATTTATTAACCCCCAAAACACGACGACGACAACAATTCTAGTCGAAAATATACTCATTTATTGTTGTTGATTGTACACCCCTTTTGATTGATAATTACGATGAAATCACGTATATGAAAAATACTTAGTTATAACATATCATATACTGAGCATAGTTCATGTCCATTGAATACAAGAATATCATATATTATATAGCATAATATATCATACGAGGAAAGAAAACCGAACACTACACTGAAGAATCATCATATTGAATCAAAACGGAAATAATGTTGAACGAAACTCATAATGAATAAATCAATCTAATTTTGACTTTTCTTCTCATCATATCAGCATCTTATAAATTTCGATAATGTAATAAGAAGACGGAGATTATCAGAACTAGGTGATATATTAGCACAATACATTTCGAACAATCTGACTTCCAAAAAAAGTTTATAAATTTGAATAATAAAAATAGCCATAAAACTAGTGTATAGTTACAAATGGGTAGATTTTTGATTAGGATACATGATTTTGCAAAGTGTTATTTTTAAAATCTTAGTTCACATCTGTAGTAGACTTTATGCATTTAACGGAGATGATATAATGATGTGTAATGATTGTTTGTACTTTTACAGAACGAGAAGAAAACATACTCTATATAATCATTACAATATGCACTATAGACAATGTTATACATTCATTTCGAAAATAATCTTGAATCATAATTTTAAAACATTAATTTTTCGTCGTAATCAAAATGTATTCCTTTGCCAAATCATTAATAATAATAATAATCGATTTTGCAGTTCATTGACTTCTTCTATGCAAGTAAATCATTCTTTGTCGACAATTTCATCACATGAAGAATTATTTCCAACATGGATTACTAGTAAATATCTACCAAATGATTGGTTACAAAAAGAATTTTCCGATCCATTTATATTAAATAATTTCATAAGTCTGGTTGTATTATGTCAAAATGAATCAAAACTAGGTCGTTGGCGTACAATGAAATCATTATGTTCTAAAGATGATAATGAAACAGTTGATTCAGAATCATTATTAGATAGTTTATTCTTAAATGTCTATCAAGAAGAATTAAATATCAACGCTAGAACTGGTATTCAAATGATACACAATGTATGTAAATATAAGTTCAGTGAACAAAGTAAGTGAAATATTCTTATTGATATTATTTTACAGTTATTCAATTAATTCCATGTGCTTTTTTTCTGTGTTATCTGTTCGTTCTTTATTCGATCATATCGGGTACTTTGATATTGTAGTCGGATTTTCCTATTGTAATGACTCAATCAATCTGAATTGGTCGGAACATTTGTTTCCTGAGGCTATACTATTTCAGGCAGGTCAGTTGGATAATGATAAGACCAGAAGTAGAAAATCTAAAATTAGCGGCAAAGGTAGTACTGTCGAATATGTCGGATTGTGTTTACAGTAAGGTGTTTCCACTGGATAACCAACATCTACATTAATTTTGCTTATACACAATGGAAGATCATGTTGGAAAAAATTGATCCTATAAATAGTATACCTCACCTTCCCCCACGTATAAGTGGTACTGTTGGTGATGAGTTAAAAGTCCATAGCTAATATATCAAAAGTACTCAAAAAAGGTTATGGATGTTTAAACTCAAATAACTATCCTGTGGACTGTGTATTCTCACTCCTTGGACGTTGTTTCCCTTTCAGCTATCTCAAGAAATTATCCTTGTACGGTATAGGCAACTGAGAAGAGGCAGCCACCAACATGAGTATCTGTTCGACTGACTCACTTTGTTTCTCTCACTTCATCCTCGCTTTTCTTATTTTCTGTTCTCTGCTCTATTATCTTTTTTTCGTCTTCGTCTCTTGACCTGTATTTCTTTTGTTCCTCAGCCATCTTCTACGTATTTTTCACTGACATGTATTCTCACATCTCGTCTTCTTTCTCCTTATTTGTTTTCCCCCGAACCACTTCCCTTCATTTTTCACTTCTCTCACTTATTTTTTCTTTATCGACACAGCTTCCAGTTTAATAGTTTTAATTCACTAGAACTAATTAGACTTTTTAGGTTTATTCATCGTCCTAAATTGATTGCAGCTTCTGTTGCAAATAAGTATCAGACCGAGCTAGGTTCTAGGCTAGCTACCATTCCTCCGAAAAGTATAGATAAGCATTGGTTGCAATTGCATGACACCATGAAAATGGCGGGTAAAGTCTGTTGTGGGTTCGCGAAACGTCCCGCTTACAAGCACTGGGTTTCTTCAGGCGCCTTACAACTCATTGAAGCCCGTCGGTCTACTCCGGGTGACCGTGAGTTTGACCACAAACTAAAGCTGTTACTTAATGAACTTGGGCAAGGCTTGCGTCAGGACCGAGAAGCCTGGTGGTCGGAGCATGCTAATGAGCTGGAAGCAGCAGCCGCAAGGAACTCTAACTCTTGAAACGTTACAAATTACCGGTCCCAGATGACTTACCTCCAGCTCTTTTTAAAGATGGTGGTGACTTTCTGGCTAAGGAACTGACTAAATTGTTTTCAAAGGTTTGGGAGCTAGAGAGTGTACCAACGTCATGGAATAAGTCGATAGTTGTCCCCATCTTTAAAATGGGCTCACGTCGTTCCTGTAACAACTATCGGGGAATAAGTCTACTTCCGATCGCGTCTAAACTAATGGCTTCCGTTATACTTCGTAGGTTGTTCAAAACCCGAGAAGGATTGACTCGTGAGGAGCAGGCTGGTTTTCATTCCGGTGGGAGATGTATTGATCATATCTTCACCCTCCGCCAAATGTTAAAACACCATCATACTTGTCACAGGCCAACAATCGTAGTGTTTCTTGACATTACGGCTGCCTTCGATTCGTTGGATAGGACTGTTCTCTGGGATTGTCTATTGAAGAAGGGTGTGTCTGAGAAGTTTATTAACATCCTAAAGGCCCTATATACAAACACCTCATGCAGAGTGAGGGCATACAACCACGTCCCTCCACTGTTCCACTGAAGCAGTGAGGTTGGGCAGGGTTGCCCAATCTCACCATTTCTCTTCAACTTTGCCATCGATGACATTCTGGAAACAGCTCTGACGGATGTAAGTAATGGTGGTGTGGATCTGTTGCCTGGAGAAAGACTTCTCGACCTTGAGTATGCGGATGATATTGTCTTACTGTGCGAGAATGCCCAAGCTATGCAATCCGCACTTAATCAGTTGGCAGTCAGTGTCCGTAGGTATGGTATGTGCTTTGCACCTTCGAAGTGCAAAGTACTTCTACAAGACTGGCAGGATTCTAATCCTGTACTCACTCTGAATGGTGAGCAGATTGATGTAGTCGAGAAGTTCGTGTATTTAGGTCGCTGCATAAGTGCTGGTGGTGGCGTGAGTGATGAGATCAATGCACGTATGGAGAAAGCCAGAGTGGCTCATGACAATCTGGGCCATCTTTGGCGCCTTCGTGATGTTAGTCTGACTGTAAAAGGTCGGATCTACAACGCGACGGTGAGAGCAGTTTTGCTCTATGCTTGTGAAACCTGGCCTCTCCGAGTTGAGGATGTTAGATGACTCTCTGTGTTTGATCATCGCTGTCTCGGATGGATTTGTTTTATTTTATTTGAACACATAAATATTGGTACAAGAGGGCACCAAATATATATGCGCCACCCAAAATCTTATTTGTGTGTGGGCTGTGATACTGCTCGGGTGTCCAGACCGAAGCAGGTGGTTTTCTTAGGGGGCCACACCCTGAGCCTTTGACTCACAAGGCAGTGGAGCATCGTAAGGAGATGCACTTCCATGGTAGCCGGTGACCAATGATTGTTTCATACGCCATTTGTTCATTCAGGATACTGGAGCCTATGTGCACCATTGGTTTGCGATCCTGTTATAGCGCTGGACATTCGCTTTTCGTCCTCACATTTTCGTAGACAACACCCCCGCCACGAGAACGCATTGAGTAGGACTTCCCTGACAGAGGCTATATACGCGTGGCCATGTGAGAGCATTTCGAGAGGGGGGGACCAATATTTAAGCTAGTACAAGAAATATACATGTAGGCTTTGACACGCGGTCAACATACATGATCGTACAAAGATATAGACAAATTTTACTGACCTAATTACACTGTCTGTTAAATAGTTTAATTAGTTTGGAATATTTGTAAATTTATGTAATGCATTGTGCGGGTTAATGGGTGCTACGAAATATACAAACATGGAATCAGAGTCCATATTTTATGTAAACCAATGGATGCTAACTCAATGATCTGAAGAGTAAACGCTCACGAAGTGACCCGAATGTCTTTGCTTATCTTGTCTGGGATGTGAAACAAGCTGTTCTCATTGGTTGCTTAACCAATCGATTTCACTGCATGAATCCGTCATGTTGTCGTATAATTTTGTGTTTGCGATGTTTTCCCAATGTTTTTTCTTATTTTGCTTTTAAAGTTATTTTCGTCAAATGCAGTCGTGTATTGATAAAATATTATTTATTTATTTTCCCTCTACCACTATACTTTTTTTCACACTTTAGATGTATCCTTACAATATAACCAACATTTTGATCCACTACATATTCGTTTAGACATACTTAATTGTGATATAATTCTTAGTAAACTGTACGATCCATTATATAATATTGGAGTGAAACATGTAAATAAGCTTATTGAACGTTGTCCAGATCTTCCATTATCTACTATGATTTGTCCCACCGTTATGCCAGATTCAAATTACAATGAAAGTAACAACAATTCGTCATTATTTCAAAAAACTATACTGCAACAATCATTGGAAGTACTAAATCATTATCTTATACATAACGATGTTGTAAATGTTATTCAGCGTTTTCCAAGTAAGAATTTTAATAAATGATGTTGTTATTTAAATGTATTTGGTATGCGGCTATCATAGTGATCCTGCATGCCCATTTCGTATTAGTTAAAACATGCTATATGGACGTATTTCTCACATTCTAGTGTGGCCGTTCATACTTGGACTCTAAACCCAGTATCTTTCATTTCGAACACCTAACATATTATCTACTGAGCTACTGATTTCATCTGGCAAGTCCTGTATGGGATGTAACTTTTGTTTTTGAGTTTCACTGCTAGTCGCATACTAAATATACTGAAACTTATGAAATAACGCTATTTCAAGGCAATCCAGTTAAAATACAGATATTGCAATAAAACATGACCCGTTGCATTTCTTAATGGTATTAACAAAAAATCGCAAACTCCCTAATAATGTTTGTTTGATTTTTTTAGGTGGGTAGATTTTTTTAGGAAATCCCTTTAATCAGAAGTTACTCTTCATGATAAACTAATATCCAGTGTTGAACTGTCGAAAGTCCCTTTAGACCAAAACATCTCAGCAATACGCGCCTAATATCCTCAAGAAATAAATAAAGTTCCAATTCCCATTTAGACTTGTCTCGATACCTAACCCATATAAACAATACTAATAATGATCAAATATGGATGGTGAATAGCAGTGGAGCAAAGAGTTGCGTCTCGTCCTATTTGGAACTCGTCAGCTGGATGTACCTGCATCTCAGAGTCGATGTTCATTTCTGGATTCCAACTCAGCACTGTTCATCAACTCCGAGATACAGATACATCCAGTTGACGAGTGCTAAATGCGACGAAACGCGTGTCCCGGATTCCATTGGTAGCCACCATCTGTCCAAGCTCATAATGCTTGTGACTTGAGGTAATATCGAGCACATGTGCCAATAAGATACTGATCAATTGCAATCCTGCACATCAATGGGAAGATTCAAACAAACGATACAAAATGATTATTAATAATGATAATAATCCATTATCTCAAATCATTATTGAAATGTTAGCATATGTATAGTATTTTTAGTTACGACTATTGTAGTGAACAAAGACTTGGTTAAAGTAAAACGATATACTGTATTATGCAAAATCACCCACTGAATTTATAAAATATGAAAACAATGCATAAATACACTATTTGCACATCTCCCTTGAGTTGTCCTTTACAACTCCATCGTTCTTTCATTCATGTTGTTGTCTCGATTGTTTTCTCTTTTTCTTACTCTTCTCTTCATTAGTCGAACTATTATTTAGCGTAATAACTATGTGTGAATTTTTCTAATTGACTGTGAATCAAACTTACCACACAAAGATGGATTTACGACTGTCTGTTGGAATGGAAATAGTTTGATTACATATGTATATTGGCCTCACATCACTTGATCATTGAACTGTATTATTTGCTTTTTATTACCAAAATAAGTGAATACTGTAGAGTTCTCAGTTTTCCAATACTATGTAATTTATTTAAGAATTAATGGTTTTTCATATTCCAGTTTTATTTCATTCAATCATTTCAAAAATTCACTCATAATTAACACAATACTGTTTCGTCTCATAACGTTCGACTCAGGTATACACTCTTCCTATACGTTCACCCGACCAATTATGCACGTGAGGTGACTGAAGAATAATTAGAAATTTGTAGTCGATGAAATTGGATAATTAGATACACAAATTATTGATACGTATGAATTCGTATTAACCTCGTAACAAGGAAACGTAAGCTATGACCTTTACTAGAAATATGATTGGTTTTCTTCGATAATGTTTAATTTATGTTTTTTTACGTACGGCTTGACGCTGAGATAGTATGTATTTGGGATCTCTCTGTCTTTAAAGATTTGACTATAAATATTGATGTCCACACCGCACATAAACACAACTAGAGGAAGTTAACAAGATGGACATCCACAGAGTTGGAATAAAGTGGTAGTAGCAGTGGTAATATAAAGAACGTCTAAGCCTAAAGTATGTAGGACTCAAAAATAAAAACGAATGAAACTGCAGCGTAAAATTTATTTGAAATTGCATTGAAATTCAAGATTTAAATTTAGCTTTGTAATTGAAGGCATGTGCTTCAGTAAACTCTATGTAGCATAGCTATACTACTTATGAGTAGTTACATTCTACCGTATAGTTTTTTGCATCTAATTAGTCAACTGTTTACTAACCATTTTCTTATTGTTTGTAATAAATGTTCCAAGATAGTATTCTCTCTTTAATCGACATTGTGCATGGTACTTTGGTATTATCGATTTTACCCTTTTCTACTCAGTGTTTCCAATCATCTCACATTCTGCTTGTTTTCTTCTCTTAACCATAAGGTGTCTTACTTCGTGGAAGATTGGAACTAGTTGATATCTGTGAATTTTGTATTAATGATATGAGTTTAGAATCATTTGATTGTGTAAATGCATTATCTTCATCGACACATAGACATTCATTACGTCATTCAACTGGTCTATGTATAAGTAAATGTCCAATTTGGGAGTTATCATTAGAACATGTTCGTGCACGATATTTATTTTTACGTTTAGTCGGTTACTGGCCATTGGCAAGAAGGACACCTGAAAAAAAGAGTAAGTTGATAAAGGAACATTTTATTTTTTCGAAAAATGTAATTTCTTTTACTTTGTCACATATAAAGATTTAGCTTGTTTGATAGTTGGAGGTAGTCGGACAGACTGACTGATGTTCGAACGCCACTGGAAGCATAAGTCCGCTCGAGATTGACGATGGAAAGTGACAACTAGCACTAAACGTAGGCCATGGAATGTTTCTCGCCAATTTTCTTTAACCACCTTACTACTCAACTTACTTGATTCGGTGTCAAGTCACTTAGATCATTTTGAAGATTACAATTTGATCGACAGAATTCATTCAGCTTTAAAAGATCATGAAAATGTTCATTATTCGTTAACAAATAAGTTCTACATATGAAAAATGTCCGAAAAATGAAGATTTTAGCTTATTCTAATTAATCCTATTGTAATTATTATTACTACTATTGCTGTCATGGTACTTACTGAAATTTCAATAACTTTAATCTGAATACAATTTTCATATTGAAGATAACGTATGTCTAAAGATTACCGAAATTATTAACTTCAGCGTTAACTGTTTAGTGTATAAATTGTTTCATTTCTTAACGTATACTGATGATAAATGAGCATAACTGTCGATTAATCCCTGTAGTACTATTCAAATTTATATAAATGTATTAACACCAGATCGATGACTATTGAAAGTTTTACATTACAGTCTGATTGAATTTTGGTTAGATAACCACTGTAAACTAATGATCACTATAAAGGTGTTTCATCTTAATATGGGACTACTCAACAGTGTTCATCTGCAATCCTACCGAGAAGTGAACTCAGGATGTTCATGTCTGGTAATGATATTTTGGGACTCTAAGATTGACTTCCTTACATTGTGATCTCTAGTGAGCATATATAGATACGCACCACTGAAGAGTTCCATATAATTCTAAAATGGCTGTCAATTCGAAATACAAACTATTATATATATATATTTTTTCCTGTTACAGTTGATGTTGATAAACAATTGGCAGATTTACTGAAATCAACTCCAGGACAATTTACTCAATGGTTAAATAATAATCTGTTGAATTCTTCTTCATCTAAATCGAAGACAAATGATAAAAAAGTTGAAAAATACACTGTACCTAATAATATTCTATTCACTAAATCAGATATACAGTTTTATGAAGAAATCTATTCACATTTAATAACAAATAATGATAGCATTGATGATAATGATGATAAAAGTTGGAAGATGGTATCAAATTGTGACACGTCAGAACTATAATTGATTGATTGCTCTCCAGCTCAGTTTATTTATTCGTGATATATATATATATATATATATATATATATATATATATATATATATATATATATATACCACCCAGTTGTATTGATATTTGAAACTGATTTAATGTGTATGTATAGAACTATTCCTTTCTCTACATATTCATCATCTATGTATACGTTTATTTTCTTCACTTTTAATAACTGTTTAAAGCAAACTCTTTATTGAAACCAGCACAATATTTTAATCAAGTATACAAATGAGCCATATCACCACTAGACATCGTGGAAGATGTTCATTAGAAGACACCCATTTATTCTAAAGAGCATATTTAGATCATGATCTAAATATTATACGCGCCCCTTCATCTCTCTTTCGAGGTTCCTAACACAATAAGTGGTGGAGGCAATTTAATCGTAAACTTAATGATCTTAAATAGTGTTGGGAAGTCAAAATGAATATAATGTAAAAGATACTGATGATATTTTCATTGTATGTATTTCTCTGGTATTTGTTTGGCTAATTTTATCTCCCTGTACTGGTATGATGTAGCAACTTGAACTGATGCACATATTTACTATGTTTTACATTATTTTATGACTGACTAGTTCAACAGAAGGGACTTTGTGGATATTATAGTAATTTTAATAGTCGAAATCATGAGTCAATTGGAGCTAGACCACCATGAAAAACCTGGAAGCACTGGACGGCCGTTTCGTTCTAGTATGGGACTCCTCAGTAGTGCGCATCCACGATCCCGCCCTCACGAGATTCGAACCCAGGACCTATCAGTGACTAATTTAAAATAATGGGAAACGTAAAAATGGACAATTATTGTTGTTTTGTTGCCTACATCAATAATTATAAATTTACAGTCTTTATTAATCGATCAATAGACTATGGTAATTTCCACCTTTCCAATCCTCTAGTCATAACATTAGTAAATCAAGTCAGTGGTCACAATTATCCTAATATTGTTTCTCATTCAAAACTCAATTGAATAATACACTTGAATTATTATATCATAATGCAGTGTAAAATTATAAATCTCAGTAAATATACACTTACTCAGATTCGTAGTTGATTGACTGAAATTGATATATGAGATACTAGATATAAAAATTGAAAGAAAAAAAGTGATTTTAAGGATCACTTACGATAAGTACTATATAAGTAATATCATTAATTTACAGTTCGATTAAAATACTCATCAAAAAATGTATAAATTAATTCACTATATAACAAAAACTTTAAGTTTTATAGTTTCTATTTTTTTTCTCTCATTTCATCTGAATAATTCGTTTCATAATTGTCCACAAGAAATTCTACTAGATATATGTTATGAGATATGTGTATGTGTTTAGACAAATGTTTTATCCTAGTTGTTTTTAAGCTACCCCAGTGAGATGCACACCGAAACCTAGGTGTATGAGATAGATTTCAAGGGTTTCAGATCCTGTATTGATTGTAATACTTTTCTATTTATCAAGGATAAATCAATACTCTATGTGTTTCACATCAATCAGTTTATTCTCTGTTTGTTTTCTTCACTGAGTTGTAATGGGATATTAATAATAATAATAATGATAATAATGTATAGCTCAATACCAGATGTTTAGTTACAATTAGTGTATGCATTGCAAAATCTCCGTTGTATAATCACCCAATTTCTAAAGAAACCAAAAATATGTATAAAGTTTTTAAACATATTTATTCATAAATGTTTATAACCAATCATGTATCCATGAAATCTTTTTTTGTCGCCAAATATGTATTTTCTATGGGTTTCGCAGTAATCGCATACGTTTTTTCCAAAGAATAATGTAGAAAATGAGTGGAAGAGGATCAATGTGATGATACGTTTTGAGTTTCATAGTAATTCGGTTCGTCAGAGGTTTTAACCATTATATAAAAGTGCTCAAATTGATACGATTATCAGACATAATTAGTGGATTATAATAAATTGAAAACAAGGAATTTTGTCACTATAAATGGCCGTTTTGATAAATAATGGCCACATATGTGTTGAGCATACCATCATCTCTCAGAACTTAAACCTACCTCTTTTTTGCTAGTTATATGAGGAGCATCAGATCTTTTAAGACTGTCAATAATCAGTACGATAGTTTCTTCAGTTTAATATTCATTTAACCTATATTTATTAACTTAATAATTACTGGAAAGGAAATCTATATATCAATGATTGTTTTGAGGTATGATAATGAAATCGTGTTTAATTGTTTAATTGGGATGCATCGTATTGCTAGTTTATTGGTCTTTGTTCCGTTCGCAGATTAAGTGAACTCGTAACCGCTTCAAACCTAGCAATTTGTTAATCTTCCTTTAGTTTTTCTTTACACTTTTCATGATTCTTTCAATTCTATTGTTATTATAATTACTGTTTGTTTTCCTTTCTTTTCTCCTCAATTTAATCTTCTTCTGACAAGCATTCCACTTCTGATTGGTGTTGCATACTACTTGTATCTGTCAACATAAGTAGCACACACACAAGTATACCAACAAGTATAGTGCTTTGATTTTAGCTTTTCAGTACTTAACCTTGCAGTAATTTGTATACTTTTCAATAACACTAATGCATATATTTAGGGTCTATAATAATTCAATTCAATGTAATGTAAAATCACGAGGATTAAGAAAAATGTTTTGACAGTTGGTGCAGTGTTAATTGGTTTAGACGTTGTAACAAAATGTCCTAGGTACCTGTTCAATGTGTGTTATTGCTTAGTTATTTAAAAAGCGTATGATTTGTAAACATAACTGATTATCAGGAGGTAGAAGAGAAAATCACTGAAAGCGAAACACGATGTTTTCCTATGATACACCACAGTATTGGTTAGAGAGATTTCTATTTCTACTTAAAAATTGATTGTCAGTAGTATTTGTGATTAATCAAATTAAAATATCGTAGTGATCAGTTTTTCTCAAGTATGATAACTGAAAACTATTTCTTTTTTCAATATCCATATACAAGTATCTTCATATCTTACATTAAATTAAGGATACAATATTCTTGTAGTTGAATAATATATTCATAAAGCTTTCATTATCATTTCTGGACACAATACGAATGGCATGTGCTATCTAATACATTATTACAATATTCAGCACCACTGTCTAGAAGATGATAAAGCTTTCTTCAACAAAGAAAACACTCACAATTGTCTTTATCTATTCAAATGAGTGCATACAATCATTCGACATAATAATAATAACGTGAATAATGTTAATTGTTATAACTTGTGGCCTTGTGCCCCTATCAGTTTATGATGTAATGACACCGCCATTTAGAGAACAGTGAATTATTGACCAGACCAATAACGCATAAAACTCGTACGAACAGACTAGAGTCCTCAATGGTCCTGATTCCTGCCTAGCCCCACCTATCGAGTCCAGAACACCAATCTCAGCCTTTGCGATTTGAATCATTTATTTGTATATCGACCAAACAGACCATATCGTACCATAAAATAGAAAGTTACATTTGTACAAGATCTGGCCAACAGTTGCTGTGAATGTGGGAGACTGTAATTAATAGACTGGGCACAACTCAAGAATGGTAAATCGTGTAGTAATAATCTATAGGTCAAAATAAAGTTTATAGTAAGAGGAACATAAGTATGCATAGTTTAGTTATTTAACAATTACATGATAAAAGTATACGTATAGTATTCATCCAGAAATATATTCCAACAGTTACCATTCATTATTCTTCTCGGGATATAACATTAATCATAGCTCAAATATTTCTGATTTATCGCAATTCTATTTTATTACTTATACACATATATGAGTATATTATCATTATCGTTATCACTGTATTTTATAGAATAAATAAAAAAAATAAAGATAATTAGAGTAGGTCAAATCATATTGTAAAGTAGATACTGATCATTATTTCTTTCCCTTTCTTTGTGTGTATATCGTTTCTTTTACTATTTATTTCTTCACGTCTCAATTCATTTCGATTATAATATAATAGTAATAGTAACAGTAATAATAATAATAATATTCCTATGATTATTAATAATAAAGAATGTCCCTTTTTGATGTAGTGATATACAAATATAAGTATACAAAATTTATATTGACAAGATATGAAAAGTAGTAAACAATACTCTCTTGAATTTCTGACGTATATATGTATATGTAGCTTTTTGTTGAAACCGATGCTTCTATTTTGAGTGTATGCATGAGAGAGAGAGAGAGAGAATAAAAAAGAGACTACTTTCACTAGGTAATATGAACATCTTTAGGTCAAGCATAATAAAGGTTGTATGATTTTCATTCTAGTGAATACATACATACTACTGATACCAACAATAATTTTAATAGTAAAATTCATAGTAATAGTAGTAATAATAATAATAGTAATGATTATTATTATACTTTAGAAAATATGTATTTAGTCCAAGTGTGTATATATTTATTTCGTTATGACCTGACGCGAACACTTTTTACAAATTTATTTTTTACCTACTATTTGTCCTCAAACCCATTAGCAAATAGAATAAGTCGAAATGAACAAACAAACAATATAAATAAATAAACCAGAAATAGGAGAAGAATGTCAATGTAGTAGTCACTTTATCACAAAAAAAATGAAATGATTTCTTCATGACATTTACTTCTTTTTCACATTTATTCTCAATGTTATCATTGTTGTTTTTGTTTTTTTTATTTTGTTCTCATTACTTTTGTTTCTACTTTCACTAGTTTATTTACTTATTTTTCTAAATAAAAAAAAATTGAATTTGGGTGTTAATCATGATCCGATGTCGAAGATTTCATTAACAAGTGTTTTTGTAGTATTTGTATTCACTAATGATTTCTTTGTATATGATTGTTCACCTATTACAAATTTTATATATAATATGTATCACGAAGTAACTGCTAACGTGAAATCCTAAAGGAAAATGGAAAAGAGGAAGACCAAGGAACATACTATGTTAAGAATTGGAAGCAAACATCAAAAAGATGAGTAGCAACTGGAAAGGATTTCACAGGATAAACTTGGATGGAGAATGCTCTTGGATAGCTA